AGTGCACACACACAGACACAAACGGGTATGTTGCCCATGGAAAATAATCACATCAGTTTCAAGAAAACAACCTTCAAAGTAATCATTAAATAAACGCGATCAGACATGATTTGCCCATTCGGATATGCAAAACATCCATTAAACAAAAGAAAAAGAAACAAAACAGCAGCAGAAAATATCGATCTGAATTTAAGACTTGTCAAGGTAATCTTTGCTCTTTGCCTCATTATTCGATACAATTGGGGCTCGGTTGGGTCGGTCGATTCTGACGTCTAGGTAAATTGCCATCTAAACATCAGCATGTAGCTTTGTTCAATGTTATCGAGATGCAGTGTTTGACGTTCCGTGTCAGTGAAGAGCGGGTAAAGAAACTAGCACGCCGGAGGCACCGATTGAGTTGTAATCACTTGAATTTGACAGCGGCGATGTTTGGAGTGTTAAATATCTTCAACGCTGTCTTCGGCATGATGAGCCGAAGCTGCCTGATATTTGTTGTTTTATCCGCCGACCGGTCAAAAGCGAGCGGCTGTCATCAACAGAAATAGAAAGTAAAACCGATTTAGTTATTGAAATAGAAAGTTGTTTTGAATAAAAGCAACAACGTCGCGGCTTTAATGCGGCACAAATGGCTACAGATATTTACGGTAATATCATGCGGTGTTTAGTAGACATAAATTAAATAAATTTGAAATCATTAAATTTAAACATTTGATTCAAAAAACCAATATCGGTTATGATATGTTGCGAAACTTCTACTTCCCTGAAAATTGAATGAATCTACAAAGTATTGTTCTGCAAAAATCGTCGCAAAATATGATTTGTAAAAACCATGTTAAATGTTGATAGATTTCTCGCACAAAAACTTATCACAAATGATTTGTTTCTTTACCGGCCGACCTAAAACAAAGCGACAAAGTGTACAAACAAATTTAGGACAATTTGATTTGTTTGTTATTAAATTTTTTGAAATAACAAGGTACCGGATGTAGAGTTGAATTTTCTAAATTTCCTGATTATATATGTACCATTGTTTCAAGCAATTTTCATTTTCAAGTTTGTTGTTAAAACCAATAATGGGTATTCCAAGTTCAAAGCGAGACGAATCACAATAGTGCAAAAACTACTGAATATATTGTCAATTTATTATCAAAAATAATCTTCTTGTCCGACCTTATGTAGGTCTTCCAACAACCACATTGAAATTGGTCATCGTAAGTAACGCTTGTGAAATCCTGAATGAAAACTCTTAAAATTGTTCCATTTTAAGATTTCCTATAATTCCTCAGAGTGTACAGCTGTCCGCTGTAGGTATAAATCTTGAAACACTTCAAGGAAATTGTGAAACAAGCAACATCGCTTACAATCTGAAATCAACATACACATTAGATACACTTCATGTCGGAATTTCCAAAGCATGAAAAACTTTTTCTTGCCGCGAAAAATTTTTGCGAAGTAGAACATTTTTTTCTATTATCAGTAAAAGTTCTAGACATAGTATTTAATTTGGACAAGAAGTTGTGTGAAGCGGATATCAATCGTTTAAATTGTTAGTTTTTTTCTGAAGCTTGAACAATACTCTAGGGAAATATCAGAAAATGATTAAAAATTGAAAAACAAATTCTAATTTCGATACGAAGTTCTGTCCATTTTCGAGTGTTTTTATGAGTTTTTGTAAGAATTATTCTTGAAATCTAGTAAGACAAATCTAGTGGACAAGAAGTTGTGTGAAGCGGATATCAATCGTTTAAATTGTTAGTTTTTTTCTGAAGCTTGAACAATACTCTAGGGAAATATCAGAAAATGATTAAAAATTGAAAAACAAATTCTAATTTCGATACGAAGTTCTGTCCATTTTCGAGTGTTTTTATGAGTTTTTGTAAGAATTATTCTTGAAATCTAGTAAGTCAGTCGAAAATTTTGTTAAATTTTTTTTTTTAGAATCTCCACATATTCTCTTCAATCTTTAAATGAATTAATGATCAGTGATTAAGACATTGAGTGTGAGTTCAGAGAGAGCATATTTATTTTATTTACGATTGTTTCGTCCGAAGATCATAACAGCAATGACAGAAGTTTAAAAGATCCTAAAAATACTCTTGTAGTAGTACTCGGGAATTTTGTAACGAACAAACTAAATAAGATCACAAACATTGGAGCCCTTTGCAAACATTTATTAGAGGGTATCAATTTTTCTACAGTAATTTCGATATCAGGATCTTCGAATACAGACAATGACGTCAGCTCTGGCTTAACTCTGACAACTTGGCTGGATACCAACTTTCAACAATACCACAATGGTGTACATTACAGTTGGCAACCACATGACACATGGTGGGGACATGCACAAATCTCTGGGTGTGTGAGAATGTGTTGCGTAGCTAAATTTGATAGATGTTGGGGGTGACCTCGATTCGACGCAACCGGAGTAGTGCGTGAGTGCGCCGAAGAACGAAGCACAACGGTTTTCACCCTCGTCATCGTTTACCAAGCATGCCGCCTCTATCTCCGACATCGCTTACACATCCAGTTCATTACGGTCCCAACTCTTCCCTAAATAACGATGGTGGATTAAAGTAAACAAAATAATGTAATGTGTATTAATATATCGCGTGTTCGGAAGGTTCGGCTGCGAAAGAGAAGTGGTGTTCATATGCAAGGTAAAGTTTGAGAATCAGTGGAATAGTTCAAGCAAAGTTGTGTTTAAACGCGAGGAAAGACTCAGTGGCATGGAGTGCATCGAGACTACTAACTTACCAGTTGCTATCACACTTTAGTAGATGGTAATGAGCTCGCGTACACTGACATTGGAACCTATGCAGAGCGTTTTATCTGTTTATAACAAATTATATCTACTCTGTTGTTACTCATAAAACTCAAACATACATATGTACATGGTTGTGTACGTTGTTTGACAAAAATTGAAGGGGGCGGTGGAGCTCACGTAATGTGAAGAAAACATCTTCCATGAACCAAAAGCAAAAGCAAAGTCTGTCGAAAATGTTTAAAACTCACGTAATCATAACATTGCAGCGATGAAAAATTTGACTACAACACCAAGAAAATTACATACATACATACATACATACATACACACATACATATATATGTACGTAAGTACATTGCTGTGGTTTTGTTGTCCGTTCCGTTTCGTTGCCGTTTTCTGACTGGTCTGTTTGCCATCACAGAAACTTATGGGTTGGTCGCTTGGCGTTGTCTTTCCGCTTGATGAACTACCACTCTTTGTGACGATTCTTTGCACTGTATTCATTATGGGACACCCTACCAATGTCCCTGTATGTGCGAACGATCCAATCTACCTTACGAGGAGTGGTCGATATATGTATGTACCCAGTGCACATTTCTTCTTCCCACTGGAAGTGGTTTCGATCATTACCATCATACTAGAAATGGAAAATTCTCACGACGCTGGGGAAGATTTAGAGTTCATATAAACTGGGAAGTAAATAAAGCTCCGGTTACAATTCGTTTTAGTCTGCGAATAAACAACTGGGCAAGACCAGTGGAGCGAAATAATCACAAGGGGTTCGGAGCTAAAAATGACTTCTTGTTGAAAAAGTGACATGGGAAGATCATTTTAGGTCTCACAAACATTTTTATTTTTTGGAAAACGTGAAGTTGTGTTATGCTTGTTTTTTGGGTAGTTATGAATTCTTTCGGTTAGGAGGAACAAATAATTTACTATTATTTATGTAACAATAACCTACCCAGCAACATGTTTGATGCCAAAACATCAGTCCAATCATGAGTGTATGAAATTCTTCACTATTTGAGTAAGTGCGGGGTTGGTATTGAAGAAAAGATTATGCATTTATAACAGATATATCTAAAGATATATAAAAAAGAGAAAATTTGTCAAATCCACTCTGAGAGATCAGCGTTAGCCGGGAAGTGCGTTAGCGAAAAACTAGTAAAATTAACATACATTTGCTCATCGAAAAGAGTTTACTCTTCACTCTTTTGTTTTCTGTGGAAGTGCTCCCGAGTCGCTTCTAATTGAAAAATTTGGGTGGGCCGAATCGCTTGAAATAGAGTGAGAGTTTGCTCTAAAAGTGAAATATAGTGGAAAAATAGCAAACGGGTTTTAAAGTTGTTGTGAAGTGAGTTTTTTTTTTTTTTGTGAGTTTTAATGTTGTTTGGTTTTCTGCTGTGGTTTGAGAAAATGCACATACATACACAAATACAACAACTAAAATATTTCTCGCCAAGAGTATAGTCTACTCCTTTCCGAATTCCGAATTGTGCTCCCACTCTAATTTTAACAGACGCACAGCCAAGTTGAAGTATTCATACAACGGAAGTTTAAAAATTCTATTTCTTATTTTAAAGTTGCAAAATATTACAGTTTAAACCCTATTAGTAACAGTAATGTTTATCGTTTTATTTCTTGTCTATCAGAGTTGGCTAATACTTGCCATTTCTTTTGTTGCTACAATGCCATTTAATTCATTTGAGTTCTTCCGTATTCCATGAATACTCAGTTTCCCAATTCTAATCTATTTTTACCGAGAAGAATATCGTAGACGACGCGTCGTTTTGTTTTTGTCATTCTTCTTTGGCTTTTTTACTACGAATGGTTACATCCACGTCGTTTAATGATGGTGTTCTTGTTAGTGGTGTGGAGTATTTTCATTTTGCTAAAAACCAAAATCTGCAGTCAACGACATTTTACATGGCGAAACACCTTTGAATTCGCCAACAAATAAAGAGAACAAGTACTTTTAAACGATATGTTTCAAATTCTCCTGAGGAGCAAGCGTTTCCTCATTCGGATATGGGATGGATATAACAGTCACAATTTGCCATTATATATGTCCGCTTCCAATGGGAAGCGGTGACGCGCTGGTCAAATACCACTTGTATACCATTCGATTTAACACCTAGAATAGAAATGAGGCGTCAGAAGGCGATATTTTATGCGATATTACACAAATTGATTCATATTGAACATCTACTAACGAAAATTCTTTTCTATATTGCAGACACATCACCGCGCCTCCAATGACGATCGTGTGCCCCATCTTCATACGTCTCATGAAATCAGTGGCAACAACGTGGCAATGCATTTATCACAGGGCACCCATCATAGCCTGCAACATTCGAGTTCACGCACAACCATGAGACATTCCATTTCGGCCACGTCAAGCAGCACTCCGGCCTCACCACAATTGAGTGGTATTATAACGGCGTCTGGAGGGCAGCTGCTTTCTAATGGCCATCACTACCAGTCACAGTCGTCGTCACAATCATCGATAATCTCCACCATTCCGGCATCTCAGAGATTGCTCGAAGAGGTTCTTTCTAAGGGCTCCCCATTCCCTATGATTGTGTTGCCACCTAGTGGTTATTGGGTGGATGGTACGGAGCACGAGTGCACATATGACGCTCGCGGTCAACCAATGTTGCCGCAAACCACATGGATGGCTAAATTCGAAACAGACGATACAGCTAAATGCTATAGACGCTTTTATGCCGGACGGGAACACTCGAACCTGGTCGGCCACGACGAGATTTTAGGACCAGTGCTTATTTCGATCAAAAGTGAAAACGTTGCTAATCAGGAGCACATTCGAATACTTTTGCGTCTAAAGACGGGCACCATGCATGAACTGATCCCCGTTTCATGCATGGGTCCCAATCCCAGCCCGAATAAAATGGTTCGTCTATTGAATGACCAAATAAACGTCGACTGTTTTATGCCTGTACTGTGTCCTAAGGCATCACAGTTGATTGGTGTCTATGATGAACATGTGTTAGTCTCTAATTTTAAATTCGGCGTTCTATACCAAAGATATGGCCAGACGACTGAGGAGGAACTTTTCTGCAACAACAAATCCTCACCTGCATTTGAGGAGTTTCTCGATGTGCTGGGTCAACGTATCCGCCTGAAGGATCACAAGGGCTATCGCGGTGGTCTGGATATACAAAATGGGCACACAGGCGACACTGCCATCTACGAAGTATTTAAAGAGCGTGAAGTCATATTTCATGTATCTACCATGCTGCCGCATACAGAGGGTGACCCACAGCAGTTGCAACGCAAACGCCACATTGGAAACGACATTGTTGCAATTGTATTTCAAGAATCGAATACACCCTTCTCCCCAGATATGATAGCCAGCCATTTTTTGCATGCCTTCATTGTAATCCAACCCCTGGAGCCGAATACAGCAAATACGCGTTACAAAGTAAGCGTGACGGCACGTGACGATGTACCCTTCTTCGGTCCGACTTTACCCAATCCCGCCGTGTTCCGCAAGGGCCAGGAATTCAAAGAGTTCATCTTAACCAAACTAATAAATGCCGAAAATGCTTGCTACAAGGCGGAAAAATTTGCCAAACTTGAGCTGCGGACTCGAACGTCTCTTTTGCAAAATCTTGTTGATGAGCTGAAGGAAAAGACCAGAGAATTTTTGGGTGCAGATCTCAGCGGCACAGCTGCTGTAAGTCCTACGCCAGAAACGCCAAAGTCCGACAACACTACGACGGGATCTCGTTTATTTGATACGGTCAAAAAAGCATTGATATCTCGCGTTCGATCACAAAGCGTCGATACCAGCAACATTGCTAATGTGGAAAAATTCTGCGTGTCCACAAAAATGAATTCATCTGCAACCAGCACTCACTCGAAGAAGGAAACGAGTTTGACGGAAACGCCTAATTTAAATGTAAGTCTCCATTCACAAATAGCAAATGAGGTAATAATCATTCTATATTTCAGGCATGTAGTCGCACAACATCGAAATCTTCTTCAAAATCCAAGTCGTCAAATGAGTCTACATCCTCATCGCCAGACATAACGTCCAGAGCTCCGCTCAACCATACGAATAGCTGTAGTGGCAACAATAACAACGGAATGAATGGGACGAAAGAAGTACAGAATAGCAATACTGCATCATCAAGTGCTCCGAACAACGGGGCTATTGCCAATGCTGCATCTGGGGGAACAACGGCTACAATGTCGGAGACAAGTGATGACTCCAGCCTTAACAGTGTTGATCTTGACCCCATGATGATCCACCTTGATGGGGGAGCAGCTTACATTGACAGCGACACCGGCCTCGAATCCATGTCCTCTGCGGAGGCAACTACTAAGGCCTGTTCCCTGTGCCTTGACGGCTCTCAAACTATTATGGGTTCATCGCCTAGCAATGAAACAATAGTTCTGATTGAAAACCTGAGACAAGAAGTTACACGCCTAAAGTGTGACAAATTAGATTTGTTGAGACAAAACGTGGTAAGTGCGGTATCAGAACATTATTATACCACAGAACACAAACGTTACAAGAGAAGATAAGTCAATTGACAAAACCTTTGAATAAATCATACGAAATATCTTCTTTGCAAAATTGTTTTATCAACCAATTACTTTTCCGTTCGTATTCAGTGAAATGTGTTGTAGGTATTGTGAGCTTCACAAATCGCGTAAAACTTGCATACAGCAAGGTGTTCTCTAGGAAATTTGACAGAAATCGAAACTGTATAATAAATCGGTTCTATTTAAAAACTGTTTATTGTCTCCTACGCGGAGTCTGCTATGATCTTGTTATTGTTTGAAAAAAAAAAAAAAACAAAACTGTTTCCAAGCAGGGTTTCTTAAGACCCCTGCCTACAAATAATATAATATATAGCCAACGAAGCCCTTAGTGTGTGGCAAAATATACTTTGAATTGGTTTCTATGCAATCTATCTATGCAATATATATAGACAATTTTAAATTGGGCCAAATTTATGGTATCCACGGATTTCATTTTCAAAATCAAAACTATTTTGATTTTCATCAATCCGAAAACATTCTCAAATGCGCTGCCAAGCCTCAAAATACGCTAGTAAAAAATGTGCAATTTATAACTTACTTTTCTTGTAAAACTAAATTTCTAACAATAGTTAAACATTCAGAGTTTAAAGTCATATTTCTATTATTAACATCTTCTTTTTTTTTAGACCTGCCAGCGCGATATCAAGCGTCTAAGGGAGCGCGAACTTTCTCTGCAGGGAGATCTTGCTGCTGCGGGCAAAGAAATTCTTCGCTTAAGAGATCTACTCAAGGAATATATGCCGGAAATGGCAGCGTCTCCACTCTCAATTTCGCCGATCTAATAGTAAATAAACACACAACGAACTGTTTTACAGTAGCAATTATGAATTACGCTGAAACGAAGTTTGCAAAGCAAATAACTATTAGAAAATCAATAACCAATTGTGCCGTGTTAAACACTTGCTAAACCCGTTAACCAAACACAAGGAAATGCTAAGCAGCACAACGACGCCTCATACAAACCTGTGATTCTTTCTCGAAGAAGAATCAACATCTCCATTCGGATAGTGAATTAGTTTTGCCGCTATTCTGCTCCGGAGCCTGTCATTAGCAGAGCAATGCATTTATCAAATGTTTTTTGTTTATCGGTTGATATGGCCAAAATAAGAGGACAGCGACTACACTTTTAATTTAACAATTCGTTTAATTAGATCTTTTTTTTTTTTTTTTTGTTAAAACAATGCATACATTAACACAAATATTTACACCAAAAAGTAAAATTAAGTATACTGTAGATATAAAAGCCAGAGTGGATATGGAAAGCTGCTTAATATAATTTTATTCCAAATATGAACCTAATCTCAAAGCGTGAGCCCAAAACCGGCTAACAGTAGTGATCGATTGGAAGCTTACATATGATCGCAATACTAATCTAAATTCGATGTATTTGCAGATTATAAAAACATTAAATATTACAAGATATAAAAATGAGCTTGTGTCAAGTATAGTTAGTAGTAGAAGATGAATAGAAAATAAAAATATGATAATTGTATTCAGTATTTATTAAAAACAAAGAAACGTGGCGACACAAATTCATTCGCCAAGCTTTTGTATGTTTTTCCAGGAGTGTCGAAATTATCTAAACACAACATCATACCAAATAAACAATATACTCTTAGTATAGCCCTAGGATGTATGTTTCCACAGTCGCGCATCATCCACTTGGTGGCAAGCACAGCCAGGATGACCAAACAAATCACAATTTTACTTACTAGCCCTCAACATTTGATAGCAGTACGGCGCTTTGCATCTTCAAAGAGCTATTAAATATCCAATCCCAATTATCCCATGTACATATATAAGTATTCCCTATTTTTATATTAAACAGAAATGTCTTAGTAATTTTATAATTATTTATATATACACGTGTATCCAATTTGTTTTTCTATTGCAGTATTTACATAACGATTATATGTAAATGTTCAAATACGAAATGGTTAAATCCCCAATTACTTAGTCTTAATAACATTGTTAAACAAAAATAATGAAATAAAAAGTTGAACACCAAATTTGATTGTATTACCTTTTACACATATTTAGACTCGAAGTGCGGAAAAACTGCCAATGTATAATTTTGCATTCGTCAAAAACCTGATACATACATATATGAATCATAGAAGCCACAAACAAACGAAAAAAAGTAATTTTGTTACTATATTGAATTTATTAATAAAGCAAACTAGAAACACAAAGGATAATGTTTACGATGTTTTAAGGCCTTCAAGAAGGTAAGATTGCACAGCATTACAGTGTTTGAAATTGCTGCTTGTTTGCCACAGTCTCGCTGTGAAAACATACCAAATCCATACCATCCATGACCCTTATTGCGTTTTAAAAACGCAAACATTAATTTTTCCTATGATAACTCCTCATCACCTCCATGTTTTCTACACAAAATATTGAGTGTTTTCCATCTCCGATAACATCTTCAACCCAGAAAGCATTTCAAATATAAGTCAATTGAAAACTAAAGCAACATACACATTTTCGTTGTTTTTTTTTTTTTTTTTTTTCTACAGCAAACTTCCTTCGTTAGGCCTTTTAATTAAAAAGTCATTAATAAAGCAAAGTATGGGACGGACATATGTAAATCAATAAAAATTATGATTTCCTGTGTTTCTCTAGCCCAAAGAAGACAGGGATTAGTATACACTCCTGTATGCTATACCTGTTTCTAGTTAAACACTGTTGTATGTTAAGACCTGTCTTTTTTGCATGAACAAAAAAAAAAAAAAAACAAAAAATTATACTTTTTCTTTATATGTACACGACATAGTTTGATTATCTTATTCTCCTTCTGAGGTTACAAGGTATTATTGATGTACTAAATGATAATTGTCGAAAATGGAATTTGCACGTGAATCTGTCTAAATTCAAAATTATGGTTTTTAGATCTGGTACAATGATGTAACTAAATCTTAACATTGTTTAAACAAATCAGAATACTACATTTTTTATAAAGAAGTTGTTACCATGGTAGAAGTAAGAAGGTGACGTCATGTAATCATATGTTTACAATTTTTTTCAAATTTACACATTTGCCAAATTTACTCATTGCCATCCTATGTATATACACAAAATCAGAGATGGGAACTTTTTTTTGGATTGAAATTTTAAATGTTGATGTACAGTGCTGGTAATGCTAATTTGAAATGAGTTTACCTTTATTATAACCTCCACCTTGGAAAGGAGGGTATATTAACTTTGCCATTCCGTTTGTACGATACAGCCCACATTATTTGACGAAGAGGGTCAAAATTTAGCAGAACAATTTGTATTTGTGTCTACGATGGTTGGTATTGAAAATAAGATATATCGGTCCACGTTTTGGTACAGTTCCCATATAACCGTACCTCCCGATATTCGGTATTTTGATGATTTTTGCTATATTTTTTCACTGATTTGTCTAAAAATTGGTATTGGTTGGTCATAATGGGTTCTGGCTGCGGTGGCGAAACATTGTATGTATAAGTCCACGTTTTGGCATAGTTGCTATATAGCGGTACCTCCAGATATTCGGTATTTTGATGATTTTTGCCACATTTCTTCGTAGATTTGTCTAAAAATTAGTATTTGTGTGTCCTAATGGGTTTTAGCTCCGTTGGCGAAACATTGTATGTATAGGTTCACGTTTTTGTAAAGCCCCATATAGCGGTACCTCCCAATATTCGATATTTTAATGATTTTTGCCACATTTTATAATGGGTTCTAATGTTTCATTTAACCTAAGATGGAGGTGCCGGGCCGAACTTAATGTTTTTTTAATTGTTTTATTGTATCATGGTTGCCACATTTGCAAACGACATGCCGAAGAACATGTATCTCAAAATGGTCTGACTCCCTTTTTTCTCCTCTACACTTAAAATGCATATTTGTTACTTTATAAACTTCTAAAATAGAATTATTTTAACTGTTTGAATTCCAAATAACGTATTGATTTTGAATTGGCAGCAGTTCTCGGTTCCACGAGCTTTACTCTCAGTTAGATTATAAAATAATACTAATTGCTTTGTTCCAGACCTGTAAGTATGTAAAAAAATGTTTACTATTGGTCTGTTCCAGAACTGCAAGAATGTAACAGTTTTTACTACAATAACAGATTTAATTTTTGATATCGAAGAAAATTGCAAACTAGTAGATTTTCTAAAATCTAAAAAATTAAATTACATGAACATTTTGAACGAAATTACTATTTTAGAAAAGCAATGGCAAAAGCTAAGTGCATATGAATGGGCAAACATAAACTTAACGATTTATTTTTGGATATGTGTATAAGAATTTAAAAATGATTTAACTGAAAATCCGTTCAAGAAATTGTCTTCTTTTGTTATGAAGTGTCTAGTTTTACTATTTAGAAGATGTTGGAAGAGCTTTCAGTGGCATGAACCTTATAAAAGCAGAAATTAGAAATAGAATGATATTATACAATATGTATTCACTTCTTTATATTAGGTGCGGATTGAAAAGGTTAAATAAAGGTTGTGAAAGTTTTAAGATTACAAACGATTTCATTCTAATCATCATTCAGTCTCTAATTTTCAAGTAGTAGGACTTAATGCATTCTAATAAAATCATATTATAGAGAGAAATATAAATGTCTATTCAGAACAATATTTGTAAATTAAGGTTTCTCTATATGAATTGTTGTAAAAAAGATCAAAAGTGCGCCATTCGTGTATTTCTTAATCCTCCTGGAATTCACTTTCAGCATTTCGGTGGAATAGACATTTTGGTATTTTTTTTCTATTAAAATTGGGGCCTATTTTATCCGCTAACATTTATCCGATGGCCATCCAAAATGCTTGGCAGGGCCGATACCGTACCTCCACTTAAAATTTCCTAAAGATCGGACGATAATTATGACGCGTCAGAAAACTTTCAGTTTTTGGTCCATTTGAATCCCTAAATATTTTGGGATCATCTTCAAAAACATCAGGCTTCTATTCTGACACTAACCCCACCTCCATCCAACATTTCTTGAGGATCGGGCCATAAATGTGCCCTGTATATAATATCAAAAATATTACAAAATGTACATTTCAATATTGAAAGTCAAAATGAAAATATCTCATGCGACAAAAATGTGACAAAATGGAAAAATATAAGAAAATATCACAAAATGAATATTTTCATCTTTATTGGGACCTTTTCATTCGTTTTTGTA